TCGCGGAACTAGAGTCAGTGTTTGTTGCGTACAATCTCAAATTATTTTCAGAGTTTCGGGACACTCTTTGCTTTGTGTGTCGCGAAAGTAGAAGCATTTGTTCGCCGGTTGACATTTTCGGTCGCGATAGTTTTTTATTTTTATCTTTTTTTTACTTGAAAGTGCTCGTTCGCGAAAGTAGAGTCAGTGCATCACTGAAGTGATGTTTTTGGGCGAAGCTCTACAAATAGAGATTGTAAGTATCCTTATATTTTATTACTTACACTGTTCAACTAAAACAGCTAGAGTTTTAAGAAGAGGTTATTACGTGTTCTGTTCCTTTGTTTCAGATTTATCAGATGCTGCATAAACAAATACTGCAGAGGATGTTCGTGGGCGAAGCTACACCATTTTCCAAGATTCGTCGAGAGAGAATATTAAAGGGAGCTCTTCAGTCATCGGGTGAGTGAATGTTTCTATTCCTCCAGTCCCCAATCATGTCGTAGGACGATTGGTCCGAAACGGCACGGGCGACTGGTTGTATATGCGCTTTTGGCGAGTACAGTGAACACGGATATGCAATCGTACGATTAAATTACTCCGTTCTCATAACATAGAGGGCAGCAAAAAATTTCTGACTGTTTGCACGATCGGTATTTTAGAACATGAGACACAAAGTCCCATAAGATGATAAGTCTATTTTCTATCTCGTCTGTAACTAAAGTAACTTTTTTTCACACGTGTGCGAGAAAATGGGGTCATAGAACCCCGGAGGCTATGTAAGAGACCCCGTGTGTGGTGTGTGGTGAGGATGTGGGGCCATAGAACCCCCGGAGGTACGTAAGAGACCCCGTGTGTGTGGAAAGTGGGGTCATAGAGACCCCGTGTGTGTGTGATGTATGTACATCTTTATTTATCATGTGTAACTTATATTATGTATATCGTATATAATTTATACATACGTTTATGCTTATATGTTTTATATTTTATATTAAATATGTAAATAAATATATAAAGTATAGTATTGTATTTTATTCTCTCTCAACGCAGAAACAACTTTTGTGTTGGGTATCAGGGACCCATGATCTGGTGAGGAAGCCAAATTAAATTAAAATGAACTGATATAAATAAATTGTTAAACATACATATAAAAAGAATAAATAAATAAACAGAAAGTATGTTAAAACGAAGAAAGAAGGATACTGAAGGATACTGAAGAGCATGGAAACACGGACGAAATATGTAAATACAAGTTGGTGAATAAGGTGCATCGAAAATATCAATCAATTTAGTGAACTGATTGAAATGAATTTTTGTCCTTCTGTAATTCCCTTCGTATCCCTGTGTCTGTACGATCTTTGGACGATGGTTTGTACGGTCCTGCGAAGGTACCGTTACATTTGACGGAGCGTTGAACCACAAACGGTACGAACCGGCGTGCTGGAACCAGGTCCGGTAGTTCTTGAAACTCCACAGACCATTCGAGGCGCGAGAGTGATCTTGTGGGTCACAGAATACACTCAGGCAAAGAGAAAAACTTGTACGGAAGTAAACAATTGTGGTGTATGTTTGTCGTCATGTGTAGAAAGAATAACGAGGAACGCTTTGTCAGTTAATTGAATGCACGTCGCAACTGGTGCATACGACGATATTTTTGTGACACGTGACTCAAAGACAAAGGTGTTACGAAGCTCTTCGTATGTGTAACCAACCCGTTATCGTTCCACCGTCGCAGTCAGCGAAATTCAACGACGAAGAGTGCATCGAGTGCAGCCAGACGTGATCCAACGTACGATATGACGAATGCGTGATCCTACCAAGGGACTGACCAGTGAGATACGATGGATGCAACGCAGACTAAAATTGTAAACGGACACGTTGACGGAAAGGGGAAGAAATCGACAGGAAAGCAGAAACAAAAATCGTTATTTTGGACTTACGTGTTATGGCTGTTCGGTGGGTTGGTTGGAGCGCACCATGTGTATCTGGGACGGGACGCGCAGGCATTCGCGTATTTCAGCACTTTCGGTGGATACTTGGGTCTCGGTTGGCTCCGTGATATCTATAGGATACCTTCGTACGTAGCCGATGCGAATGAAGATCCTCGTTTCGTGAATGACTTCAAACAAATAGTGCGATGCAATCGGAAGGTAGACCATGAATACTAATTGGCACCATGTGCATTTGGTTGCACGATTGAAAACTGAACTTATTACGGTCGTATTCGATATTTTAGCCACCGTTCTCGACCATTCGATTCACTGCGATGACAGCCGTTGCATACTTCTGGAGCGAATTGTATCGCAATGCCATCCCGGAAGATGAAGTCTTCGGCATCAATTTTCGATACTTGTTGCTTCTGACACCTCTGGTAATCGCATTAGGTAGGAAACCACAATATTTAGACATTACAATGCTAAATTATTGGCCTCCTTTTATTTTCGTCGAACTTATCTTTTACCTTATCGTGCTAAACAATTTACCGATAAGCATGTTTAAAATAGGTAAACTAAAATATGTTTACTCGTGCAACTCGACTTTCCACGACGCTGAAAAAAATATCAAAAGGGAATATGAATTTTGCAAGATATACCGAGAATGATCGTACACATCGTCGATTTTTCAGCATAGTTTTCGCATTTTCACTAACTTGTATGCAATTAGGTGTCTGGATGGTTGGAAACATCGGCAGAGAGCAGGGATCTATATGGTTCGCTCTGGTTTCGGCGTATCTGTTCTATCCAACTCTACCGTACGTCGGAGATGACCGTATGTGGTTATTTCTGATGGTCGTTGTTTCCGCTTTGAGTTTCGATACGTTCAGCAAGCAATGGAGATTGAAACCGCGCAAGGCGAAAAGCTTCGTTCGCAGAACGTGTACACTCACTGTGGCTGTCGTCATCTATTTGTCATTAATAGGGTCTTATTTGTACTTTAACGCTGCGATCACGGACAGCGAGGGCGAAGAGATCAAACTGTCCGAAGCTATTCAACACTTTCTGACGTCACCGATATGGCTTGACCTTAAGGTTAGCGAAATTAACATAAAACAGCGATATGTGCCGAACCGTTAAGAATCTCACGAAATTTCTATTTCGTCAGGCCAATCTCGAGGCAACTTGGAGCCAAGCGGTTCATCAAGGTTTCTGGGCGACGTGGGCGCAACTGGTGGATCTCACCGATCCTCGGGGTGAAATAAACGCCTACAGAGTAAAAAAGTTGTTCGATTTATAGATCGAAATTTTCCTGCGAGCGATACCACCGCTGTGCGTTATTTTTACAGGTACTTGGTGTTTCGGAAACGGCCACGCAATCGGAACTTACGGCCCGTTGGAGGGCTCTGTCGCGGGACAATCATCCGGACAAGATAAAGGGCACGGAAGAGGAAAGGCGACAAGCTCAGGAGAAATTCATGGAGATTCAGCAAGCGTACGAAATCCTTTCAAAAGCGAAGAATCGTAGGCAACGCCGTAACAGGAAGAGCGAGGACGTATAGAGGCTATAGGGACACGTAAATCAAATGAACCAACAACGTGGTAACGATCATTCCAATATTCGATGCATTCCAACAACGCAGGACTCGTTTACGAGGGGTCAAAGATGAACCGTTCACCGATCTCAATCTACCTTGTTGTATCTTGCTTTTGCGATATCCACTTTCTTCGAACACACAGCCAATTCGTGGGGGAATATTGGCACTGTGCTCGTAAACCCCCGAACATAAATGTTTATACGCGGATGTAAATTTGTTCGTGTAAATATAGAAACGGAAGAAAAGAGCGTTACACGGTTTAGTTTCCCTGTGACGCCCAACTCTGACCTATCACAACTCGAACAATTGCTGTTATTTACGTTAACTGGGACACAGACATAGTTGTGATAGCGGGCGTAGACGTTGCCGTCAGAATGGTATATATACGAACCAGTACAGTAACATTAATGTTAACACGTTTATTTCAAAGTTTTTTTCGTCGATCACTGTGTAGGTATCAAACACTGTATTGCTCTATTGCGTATGCTCGAGTGTCGGGAACGAGTCATAATATGTTTCCGAGCGAATTATTCCACCCAAAATCGAAGGACGGGCCTTTATCGCAGACCTTTCGAAATTATTCCGTCTATTTTTCCCCGTTATACGATGAGTCATCGCGAGCGCTCAGTCGACTCGTCGCTGTTCCCGAATTTTACCACGTTCTCCGCGGCTTCCTGTCCGTCAGCACGGACCACCGAGATCGTAAACCAGAAATAAGTTCGACCGTTTCGAACGCTTGCACCCTTAACCGCGCCATTTACATTGAAAACAAAAGGGACCAACGTTATACCGTAAAACGTTCCCCGAAGTAAACCCGCTTTATAGAAGACAACGAGAGAAATCTATCGGACGGGAGGTTTTTCTTTTCCTGCACATTAACGGCACTACATTATTTTTGAGGTACATATGTTACAGATTGATTTTCTTTCTTTACAAATATTGCGATTCCTCCGAGGTGTGTAACGGACACTGATGGATCTTATTTGCTCTTCTTCTTCGATCTCGACGGTTTCACCGTCGTGTTCTCGATCTTTTCCGTGAAATTAGACACGTACCTTTCCTTCGATTGCTCGAAGAAATCTTGCGGTGATACTAGTGTTACCCTGAAAGTGATCAAATATAAATGAAAGGGCTTACGACATACATTGTCGAATCGACGTTAAAGTAGATACCTTAATTGGGGGACGCTGAGAGGTCGAAGAAGACTTTTCACCACGGGAGGGACTTCGCTGGCTTTTGGTAACGCTGGACTGCTCGCGCACAGGGCTGCGCTGGTCAGTTGTGAGACCAACGAGAAACTTCGATCTGGTCCGGAGGTGGTGCGGAATACTTTTCTTATCTTTGACTTTAAACCGGTAGATGGTGGCGATAGGGGCATCACGGGAATGGGCATCACCTGTGCGAATGTGTTTCGTTATTTCCGCTTTTGTATTCTTTTTGCGAATAATGGCCTTTCCTCTTTGCAGAGGACCCGATTAAATACCTTTCCTTGTAGTACTTTCGCTGCTAGTTCGGGTTCGCTGCCCCATCGACACGAAGTCGTTCTTTCCAGAAGTCGATGCCTGGCAAACCTCTCGATCACCTCGGCGCAGACATACCTTCCACAAAATCTGGCCCATTGCTCTGCCCTTAGTCCTCTTCCTTGATCCCGTAGCGTTGGATTCGCGCCTGAACGCAAAAAAAAAACTTAATTATAAACCTCGTCGATTGGTTAAAAGAATAGTCGGCTCGAAAGCTCGACTCACCGGCGAATAATAGAATTTTCGCGCATTTTGTCCTTCCTTGGAGGGCAGCCTTCATCAGCGGGGTGAAACCCGATACGTTTCTAGCGTCCACTTCGATATCCGGGCACCTTTGAAGGAGAATGTTCAGACACTCTGCTTGCCCTGAGTGGAACGAAAAGGATTTTTTGAAACCTTACTCCCTTGCGATACTTGGCGGATCGATCGATTCGGTCGCGACGCAACTTAATACTCGAGATATTAGCGATCGTCTAAGGGTACGTTTATGTTGGAGCTGCGATAAACGATCGGAGAGGTAATACGAGCAAAGTGTAGAAATACAATCTATTGTTTTATAATAGAAGTGATTATATTGGAGCAGAGTAACGCTTACTATACGTAGGACGAACGCTAAAAGCAACGAGGAACAAATATTTCTTTTTTTTTCCCTGTTATCTTGAACATAAACGTACCCTAAAACATATTTTCCATCTCTACACTCGACGAATCGATCGAAATTGTCGCCGATCAAGTCGAAAGGTACGTATATTCGTTTGAACCAAACCAGTCAAAATGACTGGTCAATACACTCTTACAACGACGATTAAAATGTTAAGACAATACATTTTCTCAGATCTTTTTATTACGATATGAGAGTAAAGAAATTAGTCAATTTCTAAATTTCTAATTTTCAAAAGTTTTCCACGTTTATCCAGCGATCGAAGCAAATATGCGTTTATCGTCGGTAGTTCTAGTGTTAAGAACGCTTTCAATCGTTCGGGAGCCGTCATACTCTGCGATTCGATACCGTTATCAGCTTGTAGTTCGCGAATTTTCGGTTCAATACAAAATCAAACGTTTCTGGTAACTAACGAAAGACCAGCCACCTCGTAACAGTAGATACGTCACCGCGAGCCGCGCCGCGCGCGTGGTTCAAGTACTCAAGTACGTTGTCGGTTATTTCTGGCGGCAGTGACGCCTTTGGAATCCTTACGGCATCGCTCGGTGTAAAATTTGACGTTGCGCTTATGTATATCAAGCCGTCCGATATTAATCCGTCGCGGCGCAAGAAGCGTTGTGTTTACAAAATTTATGCCTACCACGTGGCCGCATTCTTCCGATTATACGTGCAGCACGCCACGATACGTGTGCCGGAATGGGGCGGAAAGTAATTGACCTTGAGAAGACATAAACGTAATTTTGAACGGCGGACAATTTTATTTTCGTAGTGAATGTTTTTCTGTTCATCGAGCTGAACCTCCTCGACAAACATTTATTAACCGATTCCCCATTTTCCATCCAACGAACGCGTCCAACGTGTGCAAATTCGCGGCCCCGTACGAACCGATAAAAAGCAACACGGAAACGATGTTTACCGACGTGAAAGATTTTCCTGTAATTTTTTATCTTCTCTTTTTTTCTCTCTCTCTCGAAGCATAAAGTGATCGCTTACCCGCTTGCGCGGCAAAATGCAGTGGCGTGTTGCCCTCGTTGTCGGGAATATTCGGATCAACCCCCTCGAACGACAGAGCCAGCTCCAGCATCGCCGAGGCACCGTTCCCAGCCATGTAGCTTATGGCGGTCTGGTATTGCAAACAAACAACCTGAATGATGGCTTACCCGAGCGAGCGAGTTTTCAACGAAACGCGGCTCGATTATATAAACCCGGTTTTCAAAGGAACCGTTATTTGCTGGTTCGCGTTAACCACGGACGTCCAATGTTCCTGCTCCTTTTCATTCGTTTTTCTCTGTCTCTTTACGACGCATTCGTAAACACTTTGCTCGGATCGGAACGGAACGCGTGCACGTTACTCGAGTGACGTTACAAGGACTACGGAGATCGTGTCTTGAACGGAAAGATCCATTCGGGAACCGCCGCAATTTTTGCCATAGAATGTCGCACAATAGGTTACGCGTTAACGGTCAATTTATTAAATGGTTAGTGACGTTGGCGCGATAGCTCGAATGCTATTACGTTATCAGGGCGTAGCGTACGCGCGTCAGACCAGCAATTGCTTTCGAGCAAAGAAGATCGTTCGATTCTTGTCGGGGCTAGCGGAATTGTATCCTCGACAAGAACAATCAACGAGGATGAAAAGATTTGTCGCTATCTGTCACCGTGGGATCGGCAAATCCACGCGAAATTGTCAGATGAATAATGAATTTAATAATACATCTGATCTTGCTCATTAAACAGTCGGAATCGATCTGTTCCTTGGATCGACCGAATCGAAGACCGTGACCCAGGCACGTTTAAAACAGGAGCTCCCAAACTTTTGCATTTTCTTCGCGTCTCCGACGTATCGATTGCAACGACACGAATTTTTCTTCGGTCTAGATGCGTAAAATGGAATCTTTCGTTTTCATTACAGCAGAAATAACCAGACATAGAAAAAATGATAAATGAACGTTAAGAACGAACGCAAATGGATATTTAAAAAAAAAGAGGAAAGGTGTACGTGTTGGCCTGTTTTGTCGGTAGTTTTCTATTTGACAACCACTGCGATTTCGACTGCGCACGGAACAACCCACGAAAGAGATATCGATGCACCTCTGGCCGTGTAAATTTACACTTTCCGGCGAGTCGGTCATGATCAAGTTGTCACGGAAGGAAGCTAGCAATCTCTCTGTTCGACGAATTTTCGAGCTAACTTTAGCATGAAAACCTTTCCTTCTCTCGAGCCCCGTTGTAATTGTTCTGGTTAGGCGGTGTCGTCGAGCAACGATGTCGAAAGAGACATGTTCGAATATTTTTGAACCCATCGCGTTGAACCACTTGTACGTCGTTGCTAGGCCACCTATTCAACGGTTACCTGAGTTGACAGACATCAACCATATTTTTCGTTCAAACGGTAAGGTAGAAATTTCGTTTCAATTATAGTACGATGTCATCGCGGATGGAATGCGGTCAGCGTGAAAAATTCCGCAGGGGAATTCTATTGCGACAATAATTTGAAACGCTCGAGCAACGTGTCCCAATGCTGAGGATATTAAAATGTGCTCGACGCCAGAGAAAACGACATTTGCCCTTGCTTTTTATCGATGAAATGAGTCCCATGGTATTATCGTAATAAACTTGCGTCTCTCTGCTTCTACAGCTGTATACGTACACGCGTCTGAGTCAGATAGCTCACCTTGGCGTTTTCGATGACGATTCTTATTGTTAATGTGTCATGGAAAATAAAATCAACTTTTCACGACAGGCACGAATTATTTATGCGAGGGTTGGATGAAACTATTTATGTGACAAGTTAGCTGCTTTCATCATTAATGCAGTAGTGAAATATACATTACAGCTTTCCATTGATTATCCGATACTCGACGATTTGCGTGTTAAGTAAAGCTCTAAAATGAGATGACTGGTTTCTACTACACTTTGTAAATATATCAATAACACGAGTGTTCGGAACGAATGCACCAACTGAAGAAGAAAACACGTACTGTTCGCTATTTAATCATTTAATCGATAAGTAATCAACGATTGATCTTCTTTCCTAGACACTGCAACGCGAATCGTTATTTCTCGAATGGTACAGGACGAATTTCGAAATGTCAATCGACCTCTCAACGAACGTCGATAATAATCGGTGTTACAAGGTTCGAAAATGCATACAGATTTCATCTTCGTTATTTCACAGAAATGCGTAACAGGAACATTGACGTGATCGTGTAATAGTATAATCGTACATATCTGTAATTGAACAAACGTTACTCACCCTGCCGCTACTATCAACCACGTTAACGTCCATGTCCCCGAGCCCGAATCGCCGTACCTGTGCCGCGATGTCATTGAGCGCCGTGTCGTCGGCATCCCTGGCAGCCCTCAGAAAGGCCGATCGGCCCTCGGAGGATGTTTCCCACGACGGCGGCACTTTTGTGACGATCGTCTTCTCGAGCACGCTTCGATCTATCGAACAATCATGTTGCGTGCGATTTCCAAAACGAATTTCCACTGGTCTTTCGTGGGACGCGAACATGCTCCACGCGGTAACGCTAACAAACAGGCTGTCGGCAGGCGTAACGTTGCGCACGAGATTCTACGAGAGACCTATGACGAACGCGTTTATACTTATATATGTATTCCTGTATCGAAGCTTGCCAAAGAACGCAACGAAAAGATTTGTGGGTTTTGCGGGAACCCGACATGATCATTCGAGGCGACTCCGAACGTCTACGCTGTTGCGTTACTGTCCCTAGCCCGTTTGTACGCGCATCGAGGGCGTTTTATGTTTAGTTCGTCCTCTTGAAGGATTTCCAAAGAAAACAATGACGCAAAGAACGGCTAATCCCAGCAATACCCGGAAAAAGCCATCAAGCGGAGTGAGGTGTGTCTTTCGTGATCGATACCGAGGGAAACAACGGTGAACGTGCGAATCTACGGTGAATAATTTTCTATCGGAGAGAAAGAAAATTTCGATACCTTGCAGAACACCCTTGTGGTAGACCTTGACCTCGTGAACGGCAGCTCTCACGTAGGGCGCTCGTTTTTCTTGGAAGCTCGTGTCCGAACTGAACGACACCGACTTTTTCACGCGCGCGCTGCTCTTCTTCTTTCGTTCGATCGGCAGCGTCTGCGTGCTCGGCGAACGTCCCAGAGATCGGTGCTCGCCGGTTACGCTGTTCAGAATCGAGAAGTATCCCCTTAACGTCGAGTATTTGGTCGAGGCACCGGTTTCCGAGCGGGCAGCATTCGAGCAAGCTTGCCCTCGCTTCGATGGATCGTCGTTTAGTGTTCTCTCTGCGACCCTGCTCGCGGAATGGGTGAGACTCGACAAGAAGGCGGAAGATCTTCTCAGTATACCCTCGTCGGTTATCCTTCGTCCCGTCTTCTCTCGCGTCGACGGATCTGAAAAGACACAACACGCGATCTTCCCTTCGTCTGACATTTTTCAACCGTGGCCCAGTATCGGTTACCAAGTTATACACGCGCGACCGGGTATAGTGCCTCTCTGAGCTATAGTGACTTTCGGTGTGACCCTCTTAGTTGGTGTGCCATATGATACCAGTCAGGATACAAGCCAGTAAATGTGTCGCTACTTCTTCAGGGTTGTACTTATTTGAGATACTTTCGTAGGATAGAAAACTATTTAAGAAGATAAAGTATGTACATTTTATCCACCTGTTTTTGTATATGCATACCTTTAGGGTCCAACAATCACCACTCGCAGAATACATTGGCCATCACCGGGCGCTTAACTTGCCACCGAAACACTTACAGGCATGAATCGACATTTGTCAAACAATTATTTAATCTCATTAACTGTTTAAAGCTCAGAACGACACCCTTAGATACTACTGCTTTTCATTGTGTATTATTCGATCAAAATTCTGGCCAACACTGGGTATATATACCTTCTGCGAAATTCACCGGAACGGCGAACGAGTTGCGAACGGTTCGTTCAAGTTTCCCGATGTGTTTCGGCCCGGCGACGTCCTCGGGGAGCTGTTTGCGCGAGAACTCCTGGCGTTTGGCGCGGATGCACGCGTTGACGATCGCCGCTCCGTTGCTCTTCTTGTTCACGATGCACGGCGCCGGCGTCTCTCTCACCGCCGCGTAGTTATTTCGAGCTAGCTCACCCCTAGAGGCGACGATGCTGTAGTTGTTCACGGTGCAGATACCGGTGCCCTTTACCGAGGAGTTGCACTTTACCCGCGTCGCCTGGAGACCGTTTACCGGCCAGCCATCCTCGAGAATCCGTCGGGCTTTCTGTTCGGATCACCATGCGTGTTAAACGAACCCCATCTTATTCGTGAACCGTCTATAGTAAAGTGATCTTCGATCAATTTTATCCCGAGATTTATCCCAGTCAGGCTACCCTGCAGAAAGACCGCCGGGGAAACGAAACGTGATCGATCAACGTCGATGAATCGATAGATTGCCATAGAACAGACAGATCCGCTACCACCAACGTTTAGACGTTTGTTTTCATCGTTGATCGTACACGAGGAGGATCGTAGCTGGTGGCAGTGGATTATTATCGAAGAAAAAATAAATGTATCGTGTTCCGTTGTGAGAATAATAAACGAAAACCGCAGGGAATAGGTAACCCTACGAGCAAACTCGGCTTCCGCTAGGGGAAAAAGTGGCGTAGAAGAAAAGTCTCCTGCCACTTACTAAATTTATGACAAGTTCGGGAATATATGTTCCCCTACCTCACATTTTCCCCTAGCGGAAACCGAGTTTGCAAGCGAGGGTACAAAGAACGAGACAAAATAAAAACCGTTCAAACACTTACGAGGAACGCGCAGTGTCGGTGTGATCAGGAACTCCCGTGAGAAAGCGGGCGAAAGAACGTCGAAACACGATCGTTCCCGCGGAAACTCTCGGAAATCACTGACGCGTCGAGTGTCGCGAATCACGCTTGCGACCGAGTGTGCCGGTGTGCGTCCGAGGAGTAGGAGGTGTGCGCTCCTTGGATAGCGAGTCGTGCCTTCCGGATCGTCTCGCAAGACGTGCACGCGAGTTCTACCGCATTCGTTTCAAACTAAACGCTATTTATATGTCGGTTAAGTCCGCGTGTCGGTCGGCCTGTTGGTGGCCGGTCGTCGGTTCGAGCGTATACGCGCGTTATTAACGTGGGTATTCGGAGTAATACCACAGACGAGATATAAGGATAGACCTAACATGCAATGTAATTTTCTGTCCCATGCTTCGGGGGCGTCAGAAGTCCCAGTACCATTTCAGAATTCCATTCTTTGCTAGCGAAACCGGGGCAATAATGTATGTATGTATATATGCAGTCACATAATTCCTGATATCGGAAACTTTTATGTAGAGGTGCGCTCTAACCAGCGTGATTTTCGTGAGACACCAAGTCCCATAAGATGTTAGGTCTATTCTTATATCTGGTCTGTGGTAATACACTGGCGATGCGCAACGACAACGACAGCAGATTCTCTTTACTCTTTCTCCGATTAACCAATCCTCGATCTTTGGACCTACATTAATTTCCTGACGCAAATATACAATACTTCTTTCGATATTTTCATTTTCCCCTGCAATCTCGAGCGTACTACGTCGTCTGGACACACCACGACCACTGATGTCTGTGCAGCAAACGAATGTTCGACAAAAATCGCGAAACCGCCTGCTGCGATCTTGTGCGCGAAGCACACAAGGTTTATAAACAACGCGTAAATCAAGCCGAGCGATGATGACGCGCGATTCGATCTCGTCGATACGCGAACACCAACCAAGAGCGGCTGGGACCTTGGCGGAAGAAAACTAAGCAAAGCTGGGTGAAAATGGAAAATGTGAAAACACGAGAATCGCTTACGTGGCGAGCGTTTCGTTGGACGGTAGAAAGGAGCAGGCTGTCTCCGATATCGTACTTGATTCCACTGGACACTGCAGCTCGCCTGGTCTCGCCAGCGTTGTTTGTTGTCAGTTTGCTCCCACGGCTCATCGCCATCGCCGATTCAGATTGCATCGAGTACTGCGAACACGAGTGACCGACGTAGACCACGTGAAATCGATCGGCCAACTTTTATTTCGCAATTATCGCGACATCTCTCTTTCTCGGTCTCTTCCTCCTTATCGACCGTGCAAGAAATTAATCGAAATCGTTTTACGCTCTATGCTCGGTTCATCTCACGCTATTGACAAACATTTAAGAAAGGTCAACGTCGCGACTTATCTCCGAACAGAATGTCTCCCCCCGGGTTCGATTTGTTTTGTGGATATCGGATAACTCGTGATTTCGGCGTCGATTGTAAATCGCATTTACGAGGGATCGTTTCTCCACAATGATCTTCTGTAGAACCGAGGCTTTCCGTAACCGTCGTGGACTCGTCTTATTGCTGGGGACCCGCGTGCTTATTTTGGCGGCTGTTACATTTGCCCGAGAGGCTTGTCGTCCTCGTCTTTGGCGTTAAGCCAATATTTTGAATTCTCTTATGCACGAGAATCTATCGATTATGCCACGCTCGACTCTCGCCGTTTATCGATCCCTTTAAACTCATTGCTAGTTTCGAGTTTGGAAAATCGGAAACTCGCCCAACGGGTGGCAGTGTTGGTTAGAACGTGAACGATAGAAAGTGACTGGTTCACATTTAAAACGTGTTCGATAAGAATCTATCGGTGGTAAATTGCAGGATTTATAGGTGCGTACGATGACGATCGAAACGTGGTTTGATGAATTTCAGAAGAAACCAACGCCAATGAAAATAGTACAAGGAATAAAAGTGTTTGGAAAATACGAAGAGAGAAACGGACTAGTGAAATATTTACCGCGAGTATCTGGGTCGTATGTTAATAATTCAACCGTTTCACAGTATTAATCCTCTCTACGAGTTCCAAATCTGCATGTCACAGATAAATGTCTGATAACGATAAGAAGTTGCAAACTACATAAAATGAAATACAATTCTGGTGAACGGTCATGGGCACGTGACTTTTTGCAATGAGCTCGATGAGACGAAGAACATACATAAAAACGAGATTATCGCAGATTTCGTTACAAGGTGGCTTAACATTTAACATTTAATTGTATGTACACTTTGAATAAGATCGACCATTTCTTGGAAGAAAGAAGCCTTTCACTTCAAGTACGCGTTTCTTTTAAATTGTGTCTCGACTAAAAGCCATTCGACAGATTCTATTCGATCTGATGCACTTTAAATATTAACCGACCTTTTGTAATGCGTCGAACAATTTGAAAGGAAAGGAAATGCTTCTTCGGCGTTCGCGTAGCTCCGCCATAAATTCTGAGAAACGACAAGCCGTCTAGCATTATCGCGTCGCACAGTCGAGTAACTTTCGTAAGGGTATTACCGAAAGGCGTGTTACAAGTCGTACTTTTCAAATACAAATGAACGATCAATGAAAATTCATAAGGGAACCCGACCGAACCGGCGAAGGTTATCGATGTCAATAGCACGCACGCGAGTTCATCCGGAATGTTAATCGTGTCTCGTTGATTATCACGTGCGCGACGCCGTGTCATTGACACATTTCAATGGCGATAATAACCTCGGAAACGAATTCCATCGAATCACCGTGTACGATTCATAAACGTGCGCCTCTACCGGAGGATCGGTTCTCGTTTCCACGTCACAAATGTTCTGTCGTATACTGACCGGGTTCGGTTTAATTTTAAACGAGGTCGACGTCAGGCCGCTGGGATCCGTAAGTTTGTCGCCTAATATCATGACCGTGACTCGTTAGTGGCACTTTAATCCGCAATGTATTGCTGTAAAATAAATATTCCTTGATGCAGACAATTCTCGATTAATTCCCAAGAAACGATACGCAGCTTTGGCGACGGTAACGATCGCGAGTTAAAGTCATAGCGCGAGGATAAATGTCAGAGAAGCTAACGCGATCGTTTCACTCGTACGTATTTTCATGAACGCGTCGACAGTTCTCGGTAAACCGGTTGAAGTTAAATAAGATTCCATTGTTCTTCTGGACCAAGTTAGAAATGACTCGATGAAACTGTAAATATCGCGACGATTTAACGAAAACTTGATTCCGAATAGATTTACGTATACATACCTGTTTCTTCATTCCATCTATCGCACATTGGCACTAATAACACAACTTTCTTCTGGATATTACGCTTCGAAACTCGAGCGTTTCAATCCTACGATTCTCCTACGTCAAACTTTTCGTAAAACACGGTCGCACGTTCTTGATAAACGTTCAGTGGATGCAAGTAGATTACGAGTTCGGAGCTTCCAGTTGCATATAGAAAATCCGTGGAAGAGAAAAGTCCAAAGCATTGCTAATTCCATCGAGCGATAGTTCGGTCTAATCTGCTCGTGTAAGGGTTGATTGGATACTGGGCCAAAGTTTAATTCGCACCCTCGCTCTGCAAGTATCACGAGGGTCGTATCGCACGCTCATCTCTTCGCGCAGCCGCAGGTTTAAGCCAGGTGTTACTTCTCGATACCCAGTCGAAGGAAAATAACAATACTTTTTTTTGTCCGATCGCTTGCAAATAATACATCTTGATCTGTTCGAATTTAAAACGATTTCGATATTTCTTTGTTTTTAAAACATCGAGAAAAAGGGTACTTTTCAAACTTGGTGTCTACGTAAGGTGTGTCTCTTTCGATATCATTTCGATCTATTTTTGTGCGGTAACACGCGGCCGTCCGATGAGCGCACGCACGTGCTTGGAAGCTCCGGTGATTCAAGATCAATTAGAAAACCTGAACCTACTAAAAATAGTATTCGAAATGCTTCGCATTACCCGCTTCAACGGTCGTGTTAACGTCACGTCTATACGTGTCGTCCAAAGTTTCCATACGAATCGCTAAACTCTTGAAGAAATTCTCTCTGCAGGAAATGAGGCAATTTCCCTTTGCGTGATAAAAGACACCCGAATCCACCCCTCCGTTCGGTCGAGGGTGATACCGAATGGTTTCGCGGTCTCACCTCGACGAACTATATATATATATGTATATACATCCGTCTGTACATTGGAAACGAGGCAGAAAGAAACGGTAACACGTAACTTCAAAGTGTAATGCTATATTTCGATAACATACAGAGTTTACATCGAGGATGAGCTATTTAATGCAACGCCGACGCGATAGCGCGCATAAATCTTCCTCGCGTTGGCAGCCCTTTAATTATGAAAAAAATAGCGATATCGTGGCAATGTTGATCGAGTGAAAATACAATAAACTGTGTGGTGATTCTCACCATGTTCTAGGTACGATACTTATTTTGGCAACAATCAACAACAATTGGGATCAAAGGTCATGCATGGTAGCGTGGTAGCGTTTCGGAACGCGGTCTAATCTCAATGTCCAAAATGTGAAATTACGTTAAATTTGCTAATCGTTCCCGGACAATACCATTTACAATCGTTGATCCCAGAATTACGTAGGAGCATTTTAACGCGGTTCTTGCGTCCTGCTTAATATTCTTTGAAATTTCGCCGCACGCGAATAACTTCGTATTCGTCCGATCAGTCGCGATAAAATGAAAAGCGGTTGCAACGCTTTAGTTTCTTCCGACGAACGTCGTAAGAGGTTCCCGTCGATCGCGACGTCTGAGGCAGTAAAGGTTCTAAATTTTAAGAATATATATATATATATATATACGCTTCGAAACAAAAAGTCGCCCACAAAAGTATTCGATAAACCGCCGATACTCGTCGAGTTCCTCGCCGCGCTCTCTGTTCTAAAGCGCCGTGTCGACGACAGAACCTAATGGAACACAATCTACATGGTAATATAGAAAAAAAAAAACTTGTAGCTCGAGTTCGCGGCGTATACCGAACACGTAAATATTATATTCGGAAGCATCGTATAACACGAAATATTTGTAGAAGAGTAGACGAGGGAAACCGAATGCGGTTTATTGATCAATTTTGCTCGAAAAACTGGCAAGAAAAGCAATCGTCGATCATAAGTGTTTAGGGAGCATCGATAACAAACAGACTTTTTTCGCTTATAGGTCTTCGTGACCTGCTCGTCGAAGCGAAATTTATTGAACCCACGAGGCAGGTACCCAAAGCGGTTCCGATTCTACTCGATGAACCGCATTGACCAATTGCTCGAACGCCATAGGGAGATCAGCGTTCACTATCACTTCGTCGAACAGGTGAGAGTACAGGAATTCTATCCTCGCCGCGCTGTGCAGAATTTCATGAAACTCCTCGTCCTATAAACGAACAATAGAATAGAATGTAAACTTGTGTTCGAAGGGGATAGGTGTATATTGTTTAAAAGGGCTCGTTTCTCACCGTGAATCCTCGAGAATTGCTTTCATCGAAGGTCGACCTTGCTCTCGCGTCGTTTCTCGTCTCCTTCAGTATTTCGAATCGCGGTGGTTTTATGTATATCACGTACGGTTTCGTCTGCGGTGTTCGAAGCATCTTAAGGGCTTGATAGTGTGGATTTAATAGGCACACGTATCCGGCGTTTATCAGCGAGCTCACGCTCTCGGAACTGGTTCCGTACAGGTTACCCTTATACTCGCCGTACTCTATGAACTTTCCAGCCTCGACCTCTTCCTCCAGCTTCTCGCGACTCACGAAATGGTACTCTTTGCCGTTCATTTCGCCCGGTCTTGGTGATCTCGAGGTATCTGAAAATAATTGCAAACTTGACTGTGATGCCATCAAAGAGGACGTATTCGGTGGCTAGTTTATCTCGGTACGAATTAATTGAGACGAGAACTTACAAGGCACGGGCGTCTTGTACTTATCGGGATCGGTGGCCATTAGCCGCCTCTTGAGCTCGTTCCTGCCGACTCCCGGTGGCCCGATCAGAACCACCGGCCGGTAGAGACCTGGTCTCGGATAGAGCTTCGCGACCTCTTCGTAGGTCGGTATTTCTTCCCGGTCGAAATCGTCGTTCTCTGCAGCGTCATACATGATTTTTTTAGTTTTTACTCCCTGCAAGTTGCACTTTGTGGGCGAGGCGTGCAAAGAGGTACTGGGACGGGGGCACAATGAAGGCAAAGGCACTGGAACAGAACACAAGCCTAACCGACGGTTAGGTCGTCAGGCCAACATCCGTTAAGAAGAGCAGCCGTGACCAGCATATTGCTTTCGTTTCGTATAAACGTTAGCATCGTTTACCACGCATAATTCATCATTCCGTTAGTCTAGCAAATCGCACTAAAACTACAAATCGAAATCATGAGACGACAACGAAAACATATTTTACATAACGTACGCAGGTAATAACATTGTAACGCTTAGTACATGTTTCGCTTTACCACCAACTAACCGACTTACTTATATTGTCATCGTCGGTTTTTTCTTTTTGTTGTCTCTCGAGAATAATTCGTCTCTCTTGAAGAGCTCTGCTGGGGATCAAACCAGCTCTCATATTTCGATCCCCCTCGCGTCTGGCTTGCCACCTATTTTGAAATAAACGTAATTGGAAGATGATTTGATGCGCGTAAACCACGAATCGAGCTATTGGAGTCGTACCAATAAGCGTCATCCTGGCTGACGATGTGAAGAACGTCACCCTTGGTAAAGTCTAGTCCAGCCTCTTTGCAAGGTATATACGGATCATCCCCAGCTTTGTATGAGAAATGCGCTCTGACTCGCACCTATCGCGCAACGAGACTTCCTTTTGAATCAATCTTCAAACACTCGTTCGAACGAAGACATTTGTGAGGACACATAGTTGGATTTATAGCTACGCCAACAAAAACCTTCCACGCAAAGCGTTTCGATTTGCGGAAACTTAGCGCCAAAAATCACAAATGCCTTTCCACTAACGAGATTTCGAATAAATTTTAGTTTCTCGAAACGTACCTTACTTTCCCGTATACCTCCTTTGCTGTCCGCGGGGACTATTTTAAAGGTGATCGTACCTTCTGAATTTTGCTGAAAAAAATTACACGCGCCTTTTATGTCCGTAATCGTGCATTTTGTATTAATTTAATTTAATTGATCTTGATTTATGCGAAAAACGAACTTAGAAAATAATATTTTAAGGACAAGAACGATCTATGTGACCTACCAGTATCTTGAGAACACAGTTCGGAGTCTTTCCCTCGACGCTGATACCGTTGACCTCGCAGACCTCGTCTCCAACGTGAATGAGGCCGGATCTATCGGCCGCGCCGCCGTGCATTATTCGCGCTATCACGATCTTCCCGGTGACTTCGCACGTTTTTATGGTCGCCCCCTATTGTCAACGTGTAAACTAATATTTTGATTGCGTTGCGAGATGCGCGTGCTAGGGAACGCCTTCGTTTTTCTTAAAAAAATAAATAAAAAAAAAAGGAGGAGAATCGTTCGCGTGAACACGTAAACTCGCATTCGATCGAAGCAGCCGCGCGATTCTATCGATCGTACGCATAGATATTGAGCTCCTTGAAACTCGATCGCGTTTAAAAACAGGTACAAACACTTGCTCGGTGAAAATCTCTCGAGGTATGTAAACGCACGACACCGTGGGGCAGTTTTGAATTTCGCTCGAATTTTCGACATCTCGAGAGGTTCCGAACAGATTTTTACGCGAGGGCATGCGGGACAATAACATAGGATACAATTGTTACGATGGAGAAATTGTTTTATTTACAAGCCAAAATCACAAACAAAACAACACAAACTAATGGGATCTAATTGGACGCAAGGTGTGTAAATTAAGATATAAGCGAAATTAACAAATTAGCGTAAAGGGAAACAAACAGCGGTCTATTTACAGCACCCTTTGTCCACGCTCTATTCTCACAGCAGCATAGAGATGTGATCGCAGAGTGAAAACAAAAAGTAATGTCAATGACTGGATATTCGATCGAACTAAAAAACGAAAAGAACTGAAAGATAACACTACAAAATCGTACTACGAATCGTTGATACGCATGGAACGTGTACAGGCCTGTAGATGTAGATTTCGGCTTGAAGGCGACTTACCACGATCGGTTCAACGCCGGTGCCACACTTCGAAGCAAGTTTGACGATGAAAGAAACACGTGATTACTTAAGAAGTGTTCTGAGCATCGCTTGCGCGATACTTCGGGATACGTAATTCGATACTACGATACTTGTTACGGGAAACACGACGCGTCTACGTCGGTACAAAGGATTAATCAGGATCAACTCCCATGCAAATCGATTTAATTACGCCAAAACGGTTACGCTATCGCTGATTATTGCTCTATCCTTATTGCACTTTCAATCGTAACCTATCAGCTTGTACTACGTCATCGACGATCAAGCTTTCTCTTTACCGTATTTAATCGAATGAAAAAACCTCAAAAACACTCTAAGTACCGAACGTGCGGCATATCTGACGTACCAAAGGCTCGTTGGACTTCACCAATTGCACGATCTTCACGGTTTCCTCATCCTCGTCCACTTCCAAGGGAATTTCCGGCAGTCGGGGATAGTAGTCTTTTTGGGCGACCGCGTCGTGCGCGCACAAAAGGCCCTGCGACAACCATTTTTCTCTTTTCAGTTTCCTAAGCAATCTAGGAGGGTTGAAATGCACCTCCGGAAACACAAGTCCCTCCTCGTTACTGTGCGAGGCTTCCTACCAATAACTGTCGAGCTTCTCTCTCACGCGAGAACAACTACTCTTCATCGATCAGTGAAGCGAAAAACCAAGTTGTTCTGCTGTATCTATCACCATTTTTCGAAACATCGTAGTACCTGTATGTGCGGTTTCTGGAGCAGATGAAACAGCTCCTTGCAGTCCTTCGAGATGTGCGTTTTCGTCGATAGTAAGTCCAGAACATCGATGTCGATATCCATGGAGTTCGAGAGAACCGGGAAGAACTTGTCGTCCTTGACATTATTCACAATTTTATTGTGGACGTTCACCAGCGCGTTCAATTCTTTCGACTGCAACAAATCACTGAGGAAACCGAATTCTTCATCCGTGCAACTGGGTATTTCATTCTTGCTCTCCTGAAGTGAATTCAAGAGCTTGGACAACGCTGAAAACGAAACAATGAAATTATTGAACACGAACGCCTTTGTTTATTATTGGGAATACAGAGGGTTGTTATCGGAACCACAGCGCGAACGAATCCTGGCGTTGTTCGAATATCGCACGGAAACGTCCAGTTCACCTTGTGATCGATAAATTAATTTCCTGCGACCATTCAAACTCGAAGCGTCTCTTTTGACGTTGAAAAAAAAGAAACCAAATAGGATGTTACACAGACGTGCTAGCGACAAGCCATATTTATTGTTTGAAAATCATGAAGACAGCAATACACGCCAGTTGCAGACTTAAGGGATCGTAGCAATTTTTTGTTTTAATAATAGCAGAAAGCAGCGTCAAAAACTAGTAGCAGATAAAAATAGACGCGATGCACCTGTCGTACGTGGTACGCCTCGCTGTGCGGAGTTGTAGTGCATCTAATCGAACCGGTAAAAATCCACGCCTTCGACGCACGAGGCATCGCTATTTTTAAATTCGTGACGTTTGCACGCATCGCTTTTCCCGACAGCTAACCAGCAAAAACAAATGATGGTTCGGTGACCAAGTCCTAAGCGAATACAGACCCGATAGGATCGATGCAATGTTACTCACCGGGATCCCAATTCACGTTTTCCATGACGAGCGCCGCTGTCATAATTTCATTCCATCGAGAAAAGCTCCGATTTGTTTTTCCGGCACTTTGAAAAGGAAGGTAACAGACAACGGAGCGTCGAGCAGTAACGATGCACGCGATATCGAAACGAGAGACAGAGAAAATTCAGGTCAGTCGCGATGCTTATTTCGAGCGGATTGCTGGCTAGCGCCGCGAATAACCCGGTAAAATAGTTTCTTGTTTCGCGTCCGCGGCTGGAATATCGTTATCATAGCGAGAATAATCCGTTACGTAAGCTACTGTCACTCGACACGGGGTAGAATGACGAACACCGCTAGATTCGTCTGCTCTCTCGCATCACGCCGAGAATCTCCTTCTCAATCGACCAACAATTTACGAACCACACGCATTTTCTTCGTGATTCACACGAGCACACCCTCTTCAATGTTTCTCTGTTCTGCGATATATCACCCTATTTAGCCGATACTTGCGAATGGTTAAAGATTTTCGATGAATCCTCGCCTCGGTCGCGACGCGGCGCGCAACCCACGGAAGCCATCTTTAAAGGCGCCACTGCTTCCTGCACTGCCGTCGGTATACACATACCTTTCCCTCTCTACCTACCACTCGGGTTTCGCCACCCTTCGTTTCCCTTCGTTTCCCTTCGTTTCCCTTCGTTTTCGTTCGTTTTATTTGGCACTATGCTTCCGTTTATTTATTTTAATTCGTGCTTTGCGTTGTCTTTCAAAGTTTATTTCTTTTTCAATACACGAATCTCTATACTGATCTGCTTTATGCAGTTCACGCCTACTCAATATTTCTCTTTGTAACTCTGTTACCCCTGCTAATCTATATTTCACAAAGAGAGAGAGAATAGGGGTGTGGGAGAAGGAACAAGGACGACATCGTCGTAATCGCAATTCACGTTGTCGAATACAGTGCTGTAACAATTTCAGAATGTCTCTATTTTTAAAAATTTTTCATTGCCTTAGAAATCAATATTCTTGTAATTATACGTCGTCCTGTAATGAGCTTCTATCTATTTAACAACAACTGTTGTATTTATCGTATAACAAACGTTGTATGTGTTGTATATATCTATAAACATTACATATATATGTAATTGTTTGAAATAAATAAAATACATGGATGGCGTATTATACTAATTTTTATTGGGTTGTTCACAGTATTTTACTAAGTATCTTGTGCATAAAATACTATTGCTTTTTTCTCCTCGATCAAAACATTCAATGTAGCAATTTCAAATTACGCGGGTTGTGTGTTGGTTTCGAGATGACGATGTCGTTGGAGCGCGGCAGCACCGTCGCATGTGTATACATGCAGTTGCTGCATGAAATGTCTCGCCGCTAGGTTCGGAATATTTTGTGAATTTTGTGTTGTTCTTCCTTGTGAAATTTTTGCTGGTGAACGTTACAAGGAACCCGTAATTTCCCCTTTATTCAGTTTCGGTAAGATTATCGACTTATTTTTACTTTTCCCGAGCAACGCTACTCAAAAGTTGACATGGCGTTGACACAGAGACTTCTGTCCAAATTTCGATGAAAATTTCCGATTACCGTCGACCGTTGGGTATCGGTTTCCCTCGTAACAAACATTATTTAGCAGTGATATATTCTCTTCGCGGTCCGAATTTCCCTTTGCTCTTTGTCTTGTGAGAGACAACGCATTCACCGAAATCGGCACGCGTATCTCTCGTGTCTTCGATCCACAAGTGGTTGTGTACTGCCAGAGTTGTGTACAAACTTGATGATTCGAAATTCGACGACAGCCAGTTAACGTTTAATATCTTGACGATAAATGATAATTTACGAACTGCCACCACCCCGTTCGATGTCCCTGCTTGGACACTGTGTGTGTGTCAAATCGTAGAAACAAAGATGTTAGTTATAATTAAGGATTCGCACCTTTTATTTACCGAGTAAAAAATCAAAAGTGTAGCGGCTAGCGAGGAAACCGTTGAAGCACGTATACACAAGCATCAAGTGTGATATCTTTTTGCAGCAGTGTATTCCGTGCTACCCTTAGCGTATGATTAGTTGTAGGAGAATATTGTACATAAAATATCGAATATTTATCGTAATATGTAAATTGTGCAACTAGTCGAGCAAGGAATGTGTTAGCAATAAAAACCATACAACACATAGACAATTGACGTTTCGTGTTTATTGGAACAATGCTCACGATGTTGTCTCCGTTTTGTTTGAAATGTACTTTTTCGTTTGTTGCAGTTACTTCCGTAACCCTCGTTTATTTTACATTCGTCGCTTTGGTAAGTTTCTTGATTTTACGTTTTCATTATTTTCAATCTTTCTATATTTTTGTTCCTTTCCATTTTTCATCCGAATCATTCTTAAATCTACCTACATATTTACCGATAAGCGACAACGCATGAAAAACAGGAATGCAGTGGCGAACCGGCTTTCTGCATTATCGGTTGCAGCTTAACTGCGGACTGAAATCAGTCCTGGTAGATGGCGGTAGTAGTTTCGTGTCCGTGTCTGTGCATTCCGCGCTATGCAATTCGTGTGCATCTTTTATAAGAATACGAGCGACAAAACCAATCAGCATGTTTGATCGTTTCGTAGATAAGAAAAGTGGGAAAGTTCAATCGGAGATATTCGATACACGAAAAAGACACGAATAGACGAGCTTGCATTGATCGAATCAACGCTTGCTAAAATTCACGCTTAAAAATGTGAAATATTGCCGCGGTTAAAATTTGCATTACTGTTATTCTTAGCCCGTTGGCCGACTAAATAGTTTTCCCTTAAAGCATGGCAATGGAAATAGTGTGCAACACGTATTAGCGACAGAAATACGAACACAGGAGTGCCAGGTTAGTAACGATTCGTTTTAGATCCAATTTAGTCTCTGGAAACGTTTTAAGCTCATAGAAACTACGACGCCGAGCCAGAGGCTAAGAAATATCTAACAATGCAGTCAGACTTTTTCTCCTTGAATATAGTACGATTTACTTATTATTTAAGCAGCTAAAAATTCCTTTAGCAAAAGTCGCTCCCTTCACATTATTCATTATAAAAGTATTCAGATCCTGGTCGCACAAATGTGGATATCTTGATCCACTGAGAAGACTTTTGGTACAGTAGGATTCTTATCGTCTGTCGAATAATTATAATTTCTATATAAAAGAAAGTTTGTTTTAAAGTATCGTTAGGACAATCGTGACATTATTTCTACTACTCGTAAGAAATTTGTCATTAATTGTGACTGATAGTATTGCCGTAAACGCCTGTCGAATTTCTGTCGGGTGGAAGCATATTTCAGATTGCTCGGCCAATCTCGGGGAGGAAAGTAAGTTCGAAGCTTACTGTTCGCAGCGACACAGGTTACAGAGGTAAAGTGTTTTACTAGCCTTAATTTCGTGTGCTTTCGCAGCCAATATGTCGGGCAGTAAATTCCAAACTTTCCGCCGGGTTTCGCGTTTCGGTGTTGCGCGTTTCAGCAGATCCGCGGTTTTAACGACCCCGTCCATCCTCTCTCTTCGCACCCCCACGTACCCCCTGCATCCTCAAGGAACGTCTGTACGATATTAATTTTGTAAACAACCAGCGTGGCCAGTTTGCCTCGCCCGCGTACCCTTAACGAATTACTTTTTCTTTTTTTAAGTCGTTCTATCGCGCGTTCGCATGACCGTTGTTACATTATTGAACGTTATCTTTTGTTCCGGTCAGACGCGATATATTCGTAATAGAAACGTTGAACGTGATAAACGACGTACCAACGCGAGTGCAACGTGGGGGGTGATTAAATATTCGCCAAAGGACGCATAAAAATGGACGATATCCAGGAGGGAAAACAGGCCCGCTGGGGGTGAAGGCAAGGACGCGTCTATGGACCGATAGGTACCGACACGAGAGAAACGCAAACTCGAGCAAGGGATTGGAGAGGTACGATAGCGACGAATCGATCGTGGTAACGTTGAACGCTGAAGGAATGACGAAACAGAAAAAAATAGTAACTTACAATTAGTAAAACATAAAACCCACGTCGGCGGCCGGAAAAGGAAGGCAAACACACGTTAAACATTTAGAGGGCATAATAACCCGTGGCATACGTAATACGGCTGGCGCCCTTTTCACCGATGGCTATGAATAATGTACATACGCCAAGGTATGACGTAGGCTCGCCGAGCTGTGTGTATTTCACGGTGGGGTAGATCGACCAGACTATTTCCAATAACCGTCGTCGCGTAACGTTATCGCCCGTGTAGCCGCGAGCGAACGGGCGAGAGACTCCGAGAACCCTTTTATGTTCTTCCTTCTGCGACTTCCGTCGCCTACCCGTTGGCCCTGTTTCGATCACAATTTTCTTCACTTTCGATTCCGTCCAAAAGACGGCGGCGGCCCTAAAAGAGCTCTCTCGACTGCTTCGGTGAACGTTCGCTACCTCGAAGTCGTTTTTCTCTCGAGGCGGAGTTCACGCGTATACCACCATTCCCCTCGCCGTTCATTTCGTTTCATTTTTATTCATTTCGAATGGGAAACATTAAAATTTACAGTTGCTCTAATTGCGTGCTCGCGAAGTATTACTGCAGCTTTAACGTCGCAAGTATACGGATGAGACGGTAAAAGTTTTACGATCAGAAGGTACGCTGAACGGGTATCGGGGATACCGGTGTCGCGAGAAGAAGAAGCGCGCTTTCCACCCTGGCGAGAGATTACTGGAAAAAGAAAAGTTCCGATGGCACGAATCGTTCGTCACCGCGACGAAACGTGTAAATGTGTGTAACATTGTTGGCATGTATTCGTCATCGGTCCCACTTTGTTCGTGTCACCCGATTTACCGATCAAAACCGACGAATGAAAACGCAAGATCGACTCGAACGGGGCGTTTCGAGAACCTCGAATTTCTGGGAAACGAAGAAAGAAACGTTTATTCTGGGCGCGATGCAACGAGTCCGTGCGTGGAATGCAACGACGAAGACAGAGCCGTTGTTTTCGTCGGCGGACAATACCGGCGGGATTCCAGCGATTTAAAACAAATCCGCGACGAAGGTATATTATTCAAAATCACGGCAATGCCCGATGTTGAGGAAACACGGACGGCGATGGTTCGCGAAAACAGATCGCGATAAGAATTACCCGGTAG